TCCCCGCGGCCGGCGGCGGCGGCCGTGCCTCGGGGGTCTCTGGCGGCGGCGGCGGTGCCTCGGGGGGCTCTGGCGGCGGCGGCGGTGCCTCGGGGGGCTGTGGCTGCGGCGCGCGCGCCCCGCTGCTGACCGGAGCCGCCGGGAAGATGGAGCCCGAGAACAAGTACCTGCCCGAGCTGATGGCGGAGAAGGACAGCCTGGACCCGTCCTTCACGCACGCCATGCAGCTCCTCACCGCAGGTACCGGCACCCCCCGGGGGTGGGGGGGGACGGGGCAGTTCGGGCTCCGGTGCGAGGTGCGACCCCCCTGGGGTGAAAATTCGGTAAAATTGGGTATTTCGCTGTTTAATTTCAGCCTAATCCAGCCCGGATCGAAACGCAGCCCCAGAAGTTTTGTATGTGTTATATTGACGCTTATATTGTAATATAATGTATTATGCTATGTTATGTTATACTTTATCATATTATACTATACTAAGTCATACTATACTATAGTATATTGCATTATACTATATGATATTATACTGTATTTTATTATACTATATATTACTATATTTTATTCTACTATACTATATCATATTATACTATATTATGCTATATTATAACTACACCATATTATGCTACACTATATATTATATATTATATTATACTATACTGTGTTATATTAGCCCTTGTGGTGGTGCAACCCCAGCCAGGCAGAAGGACAGTTGTAAAGAGAACCCCGTGGGTTGAGGTAACTGTTTAATGATTAGAATAAAATGTAATAATAGTGCTAAATGTGCTGATAACGATGATAATTGTGACGGTAAGGAGAGGGAGTAGAGCTGGTGCCCAGTTGCTCACCGCCCACTGACTGATCACCCTGAGCCCCTTCCAGGTGACTTCTTCCATTTGGAATACTGGGAATGACAGTCTGTGGGTGGAATATCCCCTTGGACAGCTCGGGTCACCTGTCCTGGCCAGTTTTTGGTGCATCTCCTCGCTGGCAGAGCAGGAGACTCTGAGGAGTCTTGGGGTAAATGGTGCTCAGGAACAGCCCAAACATCAGGGTGGTAGCGATGGAATTCTCATATAAATCCCCAAATTCTCACGTAAATCCTAAAAAAACAGCACTATTCCAGCTGCTGAGAGGAAAATGAGCTCTGTCCCAGCCAAAATCAGGGCAGCCCTTTGATCCCTAGGGACAGAGGGACCACAAAGGACCACAAACCCCGGGGGGTTCCCACGTAGCAACCGCTGGAGTCCCGGCGAGCCACGATTTGCCATCTCCGTGGCTTTTCCCTTCTGGAAATCTGTGTGAGAGCTCGTTCCGGTGCTTCTGCCGAGCCCGAGGAGGGCCTGCAAATGGCAGTCTTTGTTCTGTGCCCAGACGAGCCTTCTCCTTCCCCATCCCGCTGTCCAATCGCCTGGCAGCTTGGATTTCCCTGGATCTCCCCGGTGCAGCTGCTGCACCCGCCTTCGGGGCCTCCATCCAGCCGATTCAGCTGCCTCCAGACCCCGGAGTCAGCTTAAAAATGGGAATGGGTTAAAAAAATCTGCCACCACTCACTGCTTTACGTGCACAGTGGGGAGCTGGGAGCCACCCAGAGCAAGGATTTAATCTCCGCGCTGGGTATTTATCGTTCTGCTTTTAAATTATTTAATTTTTTTTTCCCCCCTAAGCTTTAAAAATGCATGGGTTTGGTGCAGTGCTGGAGGTTTTATTAGCTCCTTCAATGCAGGGAATGATTGTTAGGAATTGCTTTCTCCCACTGTGCAAACAACCAGGGGGGATCGTCGCGGGTAAACCCGGCGTCACCCGCCAACATCTTGATCTGAATAAATTAGTTTTCTAATCCGATTTTTTTCCATCAGTTTAATGGTTTTTGATTAATAAACCCCTCGAGCCAGCTGATGCTCGGTGGTGATGCCTTCCAGTCAAAGGAAATCCAAGGAGTTTGGTGATTCCCAAACAAAAGAACAGCGTCCTCAGCCCACTTTAGCAAAGCCTCGTTCACTTGAGTGGTGTAACAAGGATTTATGAGGGTGGGTTTGTTGTTTGGGTTTTTTTGTCATTAATCTAAAAATTGCTGACAGCAGACTGCAGCTTTGTGAGGCTTAAAACTGGAACAGCTCCAGATGTTTCGTGCTTGCTTTGGGTGTTTTAAAAATCACTGTCCTTTGGGAGCATTCCCTGTTAGTCCCGATTCAGGATGAGGAGGAATCCGAGGCAGAATGGTGGGTTTAGGTGATCTTTAGGTGGTTTCAGGTCAAGTCTTTTTTTTTGCCTGGATGACCCCAAACTGCTCTGGATCGCTTGGAATTTCCTACTGCTGTGGCACCCTTCGGGGCTGTGGTGTTGGAGAGGCTGCTGTGCTTTGGAATTTCAATCTGGGCCAAAGATGTAACACACACACAGCCAGCACAACTCCAGCAAAATGACTTCCAGACGCAGAACTGACTGATATTGAATGTCAGCAGAATTCCTATTCCAGCCTTTTTTCAGGAGTGGAAGTTGCTTGGCCTCCCTGCCTCGGGGAGGGGGGCCCTGCAGGAATCTTGCATTCAGTCTAAGACTCTTAATATGTTAAAGTTGTCTAAAATACTGTTGTGGTTCTAAAGCTGCTCAGCATTTCTGGAGGAGATTGGCTTTATTTAGGGCCTCACAGTGATGGGATTAATACTGATTCCTGACCCACGTACTGTGTGATGAAAAGGCATAAATTGGCTACATTTTCTTACCCAGCACCCTGAACAGAAACTGAAAACTGGCATTTCCTGCACCTTGGAATGTGATCCATGTTTCACTCCTGGGATTTGGGGTCTGTGTGACCTCCCTCTTCTACAGGAACAAGAAAACCCTTTTCCTCCCTTGCATTTGTGCTGGGGGGTGGTGGTGGTGGTGTGAAAGGCACATTCCTCTCTGCTTCCCTGCTTTGGGGAAGACAGAAGACATCCACCTCTGTGTTAGCCAGGAGTAGGTTTGGGGTTTTTTCAAATTCCTGTGGTATTTTTAGCTATTTTTATTTCATGGAGAAACTCCCAAGTGAAAAGAGGTGGTCGCCTCTGAGCTTCCTCAGCTGCAGATGGATACCTGAGCTGTGTCATTCCACCACATCTCCTTGGTGCTCCTGTTGGATGCAGCCCTTTACATCCCCAGAAATGTGGGGTGGTCAGGAGGGATGGGAATGGGTGGTGAGGGTTGGATTCGGAGCGTGGAGCAATTGGAGATAAAGCAACACGAGGGAGCAGCTGGAGGTGCTGGGGGACTCCTGGACAGAATTCCCTGCTGACTGTGCTGGAACCTCATGGCAGGTTCAGTCTGTGCATTCCTAGGAAGGGGAAAGGAAAAAGGAAAAGTCAGAGGGGTGGGTGGTGACTCACCAAGGAACAGAGCACAGGGGTTGGAGGGGGCTGAGGGAGGATGAGGAGCTGTGCCTGAAGCTTGTTTCACATGGAGTTCAGGCTGCCCTGAAATGGAGATTATCTCAGCTTCTGTGCTTCCAAGCATAAATCCTGCCCCTAGAGGAGCTGGCACTGCCACCTTAAATTGTCCCCAGATGTCTCAGGCTGTGATATGCCCAAATCATTTCACTGGTGCCCTTTTCAGTGTATATTTTGCTAAACCATGTCAATGTTACCCACTGCTGGTCTGCTGCCACTGCTGGGGCTCTTCCTCTTCCCACTGCTGTCCTGGGAGCCTCTCCCACCTGGGATATGTCTCACAGCTTCCCTCTCCCTTCCTGCATCCTGCTCCTTTCCCTCCCAGTGCTGGTGGCGGTTTCTGTCCCCTCTCTTCCCAGCAAAGCCCCAAAGCAGAGGTGTCGGCCCAGGAATCCCAGCTGGAATTCCCAGGAATACAGGCCGGAGGGTGTATTTTGGGGAGGAAAACGGTGGGATTAGTGTTTGCAGCTTCCACTCTTGGCAGAGTCCATCCAGGAGCAGGCCCCTGCTTCCACTCCTGTGGGATCAAACTAGTGAAGGGGGGCAGGTCTCCCTTTCTTCCAGAGGCTTCTATCCCCAAACTGTCTGATTTTGGTGGTTTTTTTGGGGCATGGGGTCAATATTATGAATAAACAGAATGTACCTCTGCTCTGCAGAGCACAGATGTGCTGCAGGACAGTGTTTAATGTGATTTTGTGCTAAGGAAGAGCTTGGGCTGAGCTGAGGAGCAGTGGCTGGGGATCACTGTGGCCCCTTGTTATCAACCCCCTTTACCTACCCCGTAGGAGTCCTGCTGAGACAATGCAATCCCTGTCCCACAGAAGTCTGGGAAGCAGTGCCACCCCTGCCAGCAGTGCCAGCCCGCTGACATTCCCCGTGCCAAGCAGGTAACCTGCTGCTGCTCCTCTAAAATCCCACCCTGGAATGGGGCTCAGTCCCTCCAGGGATCCCTGCGCTTCTCCTCCCTGTCAGTGACTGCTCTGACAGCTGCTCCCACTCCAGTTCACTCAGCACTTCATCCCGTGGGTCCCTTCCAGCTCAAGATATCCTGGGAGATTCCGTGTTGTGTGGCCAGAGCGTGTCCAGATGCCTCTGGAATCCGGAGCAGTGGGACACGTCACCAGTGGCATGGTTTTAATCCTTCCTCACACCTATTCCCAGGCTCCAGGCTTTGCTCTGGGAAGGGGTTTGAAGGGGACTGCTGGGTCACCCACACTGCCCTGAATTCCAACAGCTGGAGAACGTGGGGTTATCCCTCTCCCACGTTTTGTACTCTCCTTGAAGACGTGGATCCGATGCTGCTTATTTTTTTTAGCATTTTCTTTTCTGTTTGTTGTTAATTAACTGTTGCCCTCGCAGACCAATTCCCAGATGTCATTCCTACTTTTGCAGGAGGCAGGATGGATTTTTGCTGGGTGTGGTGGATGTGAACTGGGATTCACTGGTTTGGGACTCTGTCCCAGATCCCCTCAGGTTGCAGAATTCTTTCACTCAGGCCACCTCAGGGGGCTTTTAAGACTCTCTTAATTCACAACAGACAATTAAAAATCAAAATCCTATTCTTGAAAGACAAAAAAATTTGTAGTTGCATTGCCTGAATCGAGTTAAGAGCTTCTGACCCTCACTTTTTATGGCTGCATAGCTGAGGGTTTAACAACCCAGAAGATGCCTCGGGGTAGTTTAATTTCCATCAAGAAAGTTTTAGGGTGGGGTTTTTTTCTTATTGTGTTTATAGGAAACACTTCTTGTTTCTGTACAGGATGCATTTTCAAAAGTTTACATACTGTTTTAGGAAAACTGAATTATTTCAGAAGTCAGTTCTATAGGGTTTTAAGTCATCCCTCACCAGGGATAAGGCCACCAGGGAAACCTTTAGTTTCCAAATCTTGATTCTCTGATCGTGTTCTTATATCTAAAATTTAAAAAAAACCTACATAAAACCAATCAAAGCAGCTCTTTGTCTTATTTTATAAATTCGACAGTGTGTGAACTTGAAGGGGTTTTTATGCTTTTGCATTTTATCTTCAGAAAGTCACTTCTTTTTAGAGCAAAAATCAAGAAATCTTTTTCCAAGCGATTTGATCCGGTGGGTTGTTTTTTTGTTTTTTTTTTAAGGAGTCATGGTAACACTTCTGTAAGGGAGCCAAGGTGCTGCTGTGAGCAGAGATAAAAAATTCAGGCATTTTGTCATGATTCTGTGTCCTGGTTTGAGCCTGGGTGACAGCCAAGCCCCACTCAGCCCTCACTCACCCCCTGCCCCGCTGGGATGGAGGAGAGAACTGGGAGGGCAACAGTGAGAAAATGTGGGTTGAGATGAACAGTTCGATGGGTAAAAGCAAAGCAAACCAAGGAATTCATCCCACACTTCCCAATTTCCCAGTGGCTGGGAAAGCAGGGCTCCGTCACACCCAGCCATGACTTGGGAAGGTGCCATCACTCCCTACATCCCCCCATCCTCCTCCTCCCTCAGCTTCATCCACTGAACGTGACACCACGTGGTCTGGAATATTAACTCTCTCCCACAGTCTCCAGGTTCTGTATTTAGATCTCTCTAAACTAAAAGCCAGTTTTATATTTAAATTTATATTATTCTGGGTCCAGAACCGAAAAATTAAAATATCGATTATTTGGTGATGTTTTCATAAGGGTTTGGGGGTTTTGTTTATTTTTTTTTTTTTTTTGGTTGCCCGTGTGGTTTCCTGTGCTCTGCACCACTTGAAAGTTGCTTCTCAGCCCATGGGGTGGTTGCCTGTCCAGGAGGGTGATGGTAACCCACTGGTCATGTTTGGATGATATGAGAATATTCCTCCGTGGATAATATGCTGAGTATCTGGTGTAGAATCATTAAGGCTGGAAAACACCTCCAAGGTCATCAAGTCCATATGTCGAGCTTCTGAAACTTGTAAATGTGAACCTTTAGTCAAAAGCAGAGAGTTTGAGGTGAGCAGAAATCACAGGAAATATGAGAGACTGCAGCTGCACTGTGGAAATTCTGGTAATGACTAAGCAGGTGTTGGTTTTGTTTTGCAGCCCAATTCCAGTTCTGTGTATAATCCTGTGAAGTGTCTCTTTCCCCTGAGATGTGAGAAGTACTCAGGGCACTCTTGACTCAGAAAATGTATTTCTAGTCCTTGGGTTTGCTGGTGAAATGGCACAATTTAACTTTTAAGGAAGGGTCGTGCTCCTGATAAACACCTGTAAATAATAATTTGTGGTGGATTTGGATGTGACCAATTTGGTTTTGTTTGTGTTTGGGTTTGTTTTTTTTTTGTTGGACCAAAAGATTCCTCATGGTTCATCAGTAATTTGGGGTTGTTGGATTGGCTCCAGATTTGGGGGAACTTCTCATTTAGTTGTTGGCCTTTGAATAGAAATTGTCCACAACTGGACATCTCTGGAAAGGACAAGCCAGGCAGCTCTGGGCTGTCTTCTTCTGGAAAGTGCTGGGGTGTTATCCCTGTAAGAAGGAAAAGTGCATTAATGACTAAGAAATGCCTCCCTGGAAGAGGATCTTGAATTTTCTCCATGTGGGTCACATCCTGCCACCTCTCAGTGAAAGTTTAATTTCCAGGCAGGTTTAAGGTGTTTGTAGCAGCTCCTAATTGACCTCCCTTAACGACCTACTTCCAGCAGGTTACTGGGATCTGTCCCAGATCCCCTCAGGCTGCAACATTCCTTGCCTTCACTCAGGCCACCTCAGTGGGTTATTAAGGTTCTGTGATTCACAACAGACAATTAAAAATCAAAATCCTGTTTTGAAAGGCAAAAAAACTTGTAGTTGCGTTGCCTGGATCGAGTTAAGAGCTTCTGACCCTCACCTTCATGGCTGCACAGCTGAGGGTTTGAAAACCCAGCTAGTAATTATTTGTGTGATAAAGGTGAATTCATTTAATGAAATGAAGCTGTGAGAATTTCCTAACCCAGACCACACTCTGTCTCACTCACTGGGTTGTTGTTTATTAGGATTGTTTTCAACTTAACTGAAATTCATCATGTCAGGATGTGTTGACACCACTAATTAAATAATGGATTTAAAATAGCTCGGCCTGAATGATAAAAACCTGCCTCGTTTGCTGATTTCTGCTGCGTTACAGCAAATATGTGTCGTTTTAGTGCAATTTGGGCTGGTTTCTTTGTGCATTTAGGGGTCTACATGTGGGTGCTGTGTTCAGGCCACAGCAGAAGGGACACCACAAAACTCTACTTGCAGTTTCCTGCTCTTACTTGTTAAATTATTTGTGGGGCATTCTCTGCTGTTCCTCCTTATTTTTGTCCATTATCCCATTTTTAGCCTCTGGAATCCCAGGCTGTGAAGGGATTGCAGCACTAAAGAGGTGACCTGTCCATGTTCCATTAAGACCATCCCAGGTGTTGCTCCATTCACAGGGAATGGGGGTGGTGTGTCCTGTCATAACTCCAGCTCTGAACTGATGCTTGTCTGAGGAATATAAAAGCAGCCCTATTTTTATCTTGTTTAGAAATTGAAAAAATTCAGAAGACTGAAACAGCAAAGAAGGAGGAGGAAGAAAGCTACCTGGATTTATTTTCCCACAAGAATATGAAACTGAAAGAACGAGTTCTGATACCTGTCAAACAGTACCCCAAGGTGAGGGCCAGAAAATAGCTACTGAATCTCTGGGGTCTGCGTATTTTCTGTGGATTTTGTGGCTGACTGAGAGATAGAGGCTGTCAGAGTGTCAGCAGGAGTTAATGCTCCCTTCCACTATCACTGTGGAATTTTTCCTGTGCAGGCTTGCAGGATCTTGTTTCTAATATATTGCATTTCTAAAACGTCTTGGGGTAAAGCTTAAATGGTGATGCACAGCTGGGATATTTTATTGCTGGGATAGACACTTCCATGGGTAGAGCTTTGTGTTTTACAGTTAAAAAACTCATTTAGCTCATTTAGGACTCGCTGCCTGTAAAACTGCTGCAGAGTAGATGTTAGAATTAAACACTTCAGGGGAGTTAATTGAGCTTGGTTTTTCTGGTGGAGCATTTTCTTCATGAAAATAATGTTTTGAAACTTAAATTTTTTTTTTGTCTGTATTTTTTGGTGAGGTGAGGAGCAAATGGAGTGACTGGTTTTTATTTTGTTTTGTTGGTTTTTTTTTTATCAGCCAACATGACATTCAGAAAAGCTTCTGCTAAATCTGCTGGACTCTGGAGCTAATTTGTTTCCCTTTTTTTTTTTTAATTCACTTGCAGTTCAACTTTGTTGGAAAGATTTTGGGACCTCAAGGCAACACCATTAAGAGACTTCAGGAAGAAACTGGTGCTAAGATTTCTGTGCTGGGGAAGGGCTCAATGAGAGACAAAACCAGGGTAAGGGCATCCCCTTGAAAACATGCACACACACAATTCCTCTCACACTGCTGTGAGAGGCAGTGGCTCTGGGAGCATTTTGTAAAAGATTAAACCATTCTAATCCAAAAGCAAAGCAGTAGGAATTGTTCTGTGCATGTTGGGAGCAATTGGATGGGGGCTGAAGTGTGATGTATATTTTCTTTATGAGGAGGACTTATAAACCAGGCATCCTGTGCTGCCCTGTACCCTTGGATGCAGAGATGGCTTATGTGAGACATGAAATACAAAGTTTATAAAATCAGAATTAATCCCAGTTACTCCCTGAAGAGTCCTTCACTGAAGGAATATGTTTCCCCTCCATAATAAAAATGAAATCCTTTTTCTAGCTGTTCTCTCTGAAGTCCTTGAATTCTCATGGTTCATTGAAGATCTTGGAGCAGTATGTTCCTGGTAATCTTTAGTGAATCACAAAGTGCCAGGAGGTGTTTTTATAACAGGGAAAAAAAATGAAAAGAATGTTTGGGGGTTTTTTTATCTGCTTGTTCCAAAAACTGAGCTAAGAGTCAACAGAGCTGTAACTTAATTCAGGTTTTACTCAAGCTGCATGAAAAGCTTTTACACTTCCAGCTTGTTTGTAGCTTCTTAAATAACTGAATAACAGTCTGAGTAACAGAAGTGTCTCACGACAGAGTTACAGAATCTTGTTTGAGGCATTAGAGCTTCCTGAGGTGGTAAAGAGCACCTTGGCAGAAAGGTGGTGTAGAAGAGGAAGAACAACAAGCTTGGATATAAATCTTGGGGTAAAAAAATTGGCTGGGGTCGATTAAAAATATTGCCATTAGCAAAAATAAGTCACCTGAAGAGGCAGAAGGTGGAAGGCAGGGGTTGTACATGGCTTTTCACAAAACCTTCTCCCAATCCACAGCCTGTTTGCATGATCTGTGTCCAGACGCTTTTACAGACGTTTCCTGTTAAAGGCTCAGAAAACAGGTAAAAGAAAAGCAGTTTTCCTTTGTGTGTGTGGTTCAGCTTAAGGAGTCTCTCGATGTGCTTTGTTTCAGGAGGAGGAGCTGCGCAAAGGGGGAGACCCGAAATACGCTCATCTAAACATGGATTTGCACGTCTTCATCGAGGTTTTTGGGCCCCCCTGCGAGGCCTATGCCCTGATGGCTCATGCCATGGAGGAGGTCAAGAAATTCCTTGTTCCGGTATGTATATGCTGGCACTCTTTTTGTTTTTGAAGGAGGTGGGTGGGTGGTGAACCTGGCTGAGGATGGGTAAGATCTGCACAGTGTGATCTCACCTGGGGTAGTTGAGGGAACCTGGAATATTAAATGTGTGTGACAGCTTCAGATAACCCTGTTAATCTTGCAGAAGGTATTTTATTATTCCTCTAACCATGATTAGAATGACAAACCATACAGGGTAGTGGTATAGAGCACTTGGAGTAGGTATTTCCATCCCAGTACGAGCTGTGGATGCTGGGGGTGAGCAGCTTGTCCAGCTCCACGTGCCAGGTTTAGTGGGAGAATAAGTTTAGTCTTGCCTGGCATGGAAGAGAATTCTTAGATGGGTTCCTCTGACTTGGAACTGTAGAAATCCAGCTGGAAAACTTCACTGTCAGATCAGAAACTTAAATACAGTGGTGTGAGGATGAGGGGGGTGAGCCTGGGCAGCTCAGGAGCTCTATTCATTGTGGTGACTGTTTTCTGAGACAACACTTGTTAAATCAGCACTTCTGCTGCTTTAAATGTGGATTATTTGAAGGAACATCATTTAGTAAACCATGTTTTTATGCAGGTGCCACTTGTCACCTGCTTGGGGACGTGTTTTACGGGTGAACTTTGTAAGACCTTTGTGGCCAAATTCCTGTTTTAAGCCAGTGTGTAACAGGACCGTGCTGGAGTGTTACCTCTGAGGATGGCAGAACCTGAAGGAGTCTCTCACATGTTTTAAAATCACAGTGTTTCTCATTAAATTAGGGGGAAAAAAATTTAGAAAGACCCATGCAGTGTTCCTGCTGCTGGCCAGCCCAGCCTGTGACTCAGAGACCTTGTAGAGGGATTCACAGACCCTGTCACTGTGCTCCACAGGTGAGCCTGGAGAGCTTGGAAGTTCTTCCTGAAGTACCAGAGGCAGGTGGAACATGGGAGCAGTGGGAAAGGCATATGGATGGTGTGTGTTTTCCTGGGTCTGACACAGGGAGGAGGAGAGACTGTGATGTGGAGTGTCTTTGAAGGAAAGAGGTCATGTTCAAGGAGCCCCTGGGATGTGCAGAGCTGCCAAAGCAGCCTTGCTATTTGAAGTGTCTTCTGTGTCCCTGTGTCAAACTTGGGAAAATGGACAGGGAAGTCACTGTGGAAGCCAACAGGGCTTGGAAGACACATCTGGGAGGAGACTCCTCACTTTGTGGTGTTGCCGTGGCACTGGGAAGACCCTGGGTGTGAGGCTCAGGGGTGGGGTGTCCTGGCTTCCAAGGGTCACTAGGGATCTGAGCTCATTCCTGAGGCTGGATCCCCTCAGATCCTCCTCCTCCTGTGCCAGAAACCTACGAGGAACATGTAAGGAATTACATCTGTTTGGTGTTTTAATTCCAGCTGACTGTGTCTTAGGTACTCAACATGACTGACATAAGATTGCTGTGGAGAAGTGGCCACTGGGGTGGGGCTGGGTGACATCAGGTACCTCCAGCAGCCCTGTGAGAGAGATCCCCTTCCCAGGGACCAGCTGTGTGCTCACCTGAGCTCCTGGGCATGCATTTCTTCTTTGGCCCTGTTACCTGCTGAGCAAATCCCAGTAAAACCAACCAGCAGATTTTAATTTAGGACTATTCAGTTATTTTTATTCCAGCACAGCAGGCTGGGATATCCCAGGGCACAGCCTGACTAGTTGGCTGTTCTCTGGAACTGACTGTCCCCCCTTTTCAGGATATGATGGATGATATCTGCCAGGAGCAGTTCCTGGAGCTGTCCTACCTGAACGGTGTTCCAGACCCGAACCGCAGCCGAGGAGTCCCCGGGCGGGGAAGGGGAGCAGCTCCACCACCACCTCCACCCGTTCTAAGGTATCCTTCCCAAAAGCACAGACCTGGAAGTGCTGCATTTTGCTCAGAGTTATCCTGTCAGAGGAGGTTAAACTGCTTGTTCTTGCACATCAGCTGTCGGGCTCGACCTTGGATTTTGGCCAAGGCTTTTCCAGCCTTGTGTTGCAGGCTCGCCTGGAGCACGCTGGCATCCGATGTTTTGCATGTTTTGAGATGTAATCTAACACAGTGGGTGTCTTCTGTGTTATTTTTGATGTCTGCAATCAATAGTTTTATAAAGCAACCTTTCAACAATTGGCCTGTGAAACTGTGTGCAAACAGATCTTGTGCAGCCTTCAGCAGAACAAGCATTTTCAGATTAAACTGGCATCGTTTGAGAGCTCTGGGATGGCATCATTCTGTCAGTGCTGTCAAGGCTCTGGGATAAATTGGCAATAAAACTGTTACTATAGTTCTTTCTTCACTCCCTGTTTCATGGGGTAGTGTCTTTCCTTCTGCCTGTTCAGCCCTGACGTGTCCCTCCCTCATCTCATCACTGATCCTTATGGGTTTGCAGGTCTGGAAGCCATCCCAGGTCAGTGAACTCTGAGAAATCACCCGCCCAAAGTCCTGTATTGCATTTATTCCTTTGCCTGTACATCTAATGCAGCAGAATTCTCATCCCAGGGGAGGTTTTAGCAAATATTGCAAGGCCACAATGTTAATTCTCGTGCTGATAAAGCTTCATGGCTTTGCTGATGACAGCTCTGTTTAGTTACCGAGTTGTTGCATTTTAGAGTAGATACAAGAAGCAGCCTCAGTGTCCTCACAGGAGCTGCTCACAACCCTCTTTCTCTCCTTCCAGGGGCCATGGGGTTGGTCCCCCTCCTCCTCCTCCTCGGGGGGCCCTGGTGCGAGGGGCCCCAGTGCGGGGGGGCATCGCTCGAGGGGCCACCATACCCCGGGGGGTGCCCCCTCCTCCGGCAGTCCGGGGGGCTCCTGCCCCCCGAGCACGGGCAGCTGGCATCCAGAGGATACCCCTTCCTCCTCCTCCTGTGCCAGAAGCCTACGAGGAATATGTAAGGAATTATTTGTCTTCGGTTTTCTACCTCCAGCTAAATGTGTCTTAGATATTCCACGTGACTTGACAGGAGATTGCTGTGGAGAAGTGACCACCAGTGGCCACTGGGATGGGGCTGGGATCCCCAGTGAGCACTGGGATGGGGCTGGGATCCCCAGTGAGCACTGGGATGGGGCTGGGATCCCCAGTGAGCACTGGGATGGGGCTGGGATCCCCAGTGAGCACTGGGATGGGGCTGGGATCACCAGTGACCACTGGGATGGGGCTGGGATCCCCAGTGAGCACTGGGATGGTGCTGTGGTCACCAGTGACCACTGGGATGGTGCTTGATGACCTTCTCTGCCTCTTTAACCCTCGAAGAAGTGAACTGCAAGTGTCATAAATCCAAAGTAAAGGTTGTTTTTTATGAATGTGCCCCCAGGAACTGAAGTTTTCCATGACTTTCAGTGCATGGTATGCAAAATTACATCAGAGGTTGGGGTAGTTCACGTAACGTTCTCTTTTCAAGAGAATTCTTTAAGCAAGAGGCACCCAAGGCTTCCTCTGTCCACTAAAATCCTTAAAGCAAATAAGTGAATGAACAGGGGGATGTTTCAAGTCGTATAACTCAGCACCACCCTCCTGCCAAGCTTATCTTGGCATCTGTGCTCTTGGTGTCCCAAAGGAGAAACAACAGCACAACAGCATTTTGGGGAATCATCACAATTATTGATACATCTTAAAAGGTTTGCTTCTCTTCCCAGTAAAATGTTTTTCTCACTGAAACCAGTCCTAAGTTCAGAGGTTGGTGTTTGTCTAATTGTAAGTCTGTGGTTTAGATATCACAGAATGTCCTGAGCTGGAAGGGACCCACACGGACCATCCATCCAACCCCTGGCCCTGCACAGACACCCCAACAATCCCACCCTGTCCCTGAGGGCATTGTCCAAACCCTCCTGGAGCTCTGTCAGCTTTGGGACTGTGCCCACTGCCCTGGGGAGCCTGGGCAGTGCCCAACCAGCCTCTGGGGGAAGAACCTTTTCCTAATAACACAGTTCCAGGTCTCCTGGCACAGGGATTTGTCCCTCAGCCGAGCTGCAGCCTTGACCATGAATTATAAATATTAGTATGATTCATTCCTCCCGAGCCACGGGACACAGCAGGTCTCAGCCATGTCTGCCACTTCCCTGTGGCAGGGAAGGATTTCCAGGCTCCTCTGAGAGCTGCTGTAGCCTGAATTCAGTTCTGCCATCCCTGTTGGCCAGGAATTATCCTTTGGCCCTTCCATTAACACGTTTGTGTCATGATCCCTTTCAGGGCTACGACGACACGTACGCAGACCAGGGCTACGAGGGCTATGAGGGCTACTACGGCCAGGGCCAAGGGTGAGTTGGCTTCTCTCTTCCTGACATATAATGCATGACCTTTATTCTTTTTTTTTTTTCCATTTGAAGGGAATGCAAACACTCATTTCTGGGTCTGAGCTGTAGAGAAGGTGCCCTGTTCTGCTGCAGTCCAGGAGAGCCTGGGAAATGACACGGACAACACTGGGCATCTTTTGCTTGTGCAGCGTTTGTGCAAGTTGTGTCACTTTGAGAATGTGATTTCACTGGATGTAACCACCTAATTACTCTTCCAGGGACACAGAATACTATGATTATGGACACGGGGAGGCACAGGAAACCTACGATGCTTATGGTATGTCTGGGAATACTGTTCCTTTCACTGGGAAGGGGCTGCACGTAGTTGGGAATTGCTTGTGGCCAACCAGCAGTTTTCCAGTGTCACTCCAGGGTCTGAACAAAAACTGAGGAGAACCTCAAGTAGTTTTCATGGTAGAACATTTGTATCTAGATCTGAACAAGCAAAGACGTTCTGTGGGTTTAGATCCTTATCAAACTTGATTGTCTCAAAGTGATGACACTTTAAAAAGATCCATTTTTAAACTATGGAAATATCTTAATTTCCTTGTAGCTTTAGAATATTTTAAGAGGTCTGGATTTCCACCCACAGCACTACTGCTGCAGTCTGGTCTTCATGGACTGTGTTTTGTATGGCTCCATCTGCTTCCTTATCCTCAAAAACCCGCTACCTGATCCTGACTCTGTGCTATACATTAGCTTGGAAAATGGATTTGTATGTCACATAAAGGCCTCTCTTTGGAGCAGTTTTGCTCAATATGACTTGCAAGTAGCTTAGGAAGTTTAGTTAATTTGAATTATGTGAAAATACTGACTTGGGCTGGACTGAACCAAACTGTTGTGGCTTAACCCCAAGGGGCAGCCAAACCCCACCAGCCACTCACTCACTCCCCATTCCTGGGATGGGGGAGAGAACTGGAAGGGTAAAAGTGGGAGAACTCATGGGTTGAGATAAAGACAGTTCAGTGGGAAAAGCAAAGTAAAACAAGGAATTAGTTCCTTGCTTCCTTGGGAAGACAAACACCATCACTGCAGAAGTTCTCCCCTCAGCTGTGGCTGCATTTCTTTTTTAAGCCAGTTCCTATATCCAGGCTTGGAATGGCAGCTGCACATGGCAATGAGTAAGAAGCGTTTTCCTCTCCCTCTAAACAAGCCTGTGCTGCTTTGGGCTGGGGCAGAGTTAATTTTCTTCCCAGTGGCTGCTCTGGGGCTGAGTTTGGGATTTGTGCTGACGATACAGAGATGTTTTGTTGTTGCTGAGCAGAGCTCACACACAGCAAGGGCCTTTCCTGCTCCTTGCACTGCCACTCTGGCATGGGACTGGGGAAACTGGGAGGGCACACAGCCAGGACACTGACCCAGCTGACCAGAGTGATATTCCAGACCACATGATATCATAAGTTCCCAAAGCTGCACAGCGTGAAGGCACGGAATTCCATGTGATTGGAAACAGTCCCTTTCCCAGAGCATCAGCTGAGTGAGTGCAGGTAGTGACATTAATGACCAGCTGGAGGGGCTTTCTGGGATCCCTGGGAACTGGGAATCCTCTGTGCCCTGTCATGCCAGTAACAGGGAAGCAGAGTTAATACCCTGCTCCAGCCTCGGGGTGTTCCCTGCTCCGGGTTTAAGCTGTGGGAAGTTCAAACTCAGGTGCCTGAGCAGGGATGTTTTCCAGCCTAGGCTGCATTTGAGCAGACAGCTGCTCCCAGGAACGTTGGCTCTTTCCTGCCTTCAATGCCTGGGTTTGTTGCCTGTGTTTGTCACGCAGCACAAAGAGCCCTTTGTGCCTCCGGCTTGGTGGGAGAGCGGCGGAGTCGGCCGGGATTGGGAGGCCAAAATGCTCATTGTACACTTGGCATGAGGTTGCCACGGCTAATCTGTTTATCCACAGCAATTTCCTTTGGTCTCTGCTTTCATGAAAACAGAATTAGAGGAATAAATCACTGGGCCAGGCTGGAGACAGTTTGGAGAAAAGGGGAATGTGCTCCGTGGTGGTAGGAACAGGCTCAGCTGTCGGGGGACTCTTGGTTTCATAAAGTGGTGACCCTGGAGAGACTGGCAGGAACACGAGGATGGACGTTGCAAGCACAAGCCTTAATGAGAGCTGAGCTGGGATATTTGGGGCTGGAGCTGTCTCAGGGACAACAGGGATGTGAACTCCATTTGCTTCAGTGGTGGTTCATGGAATCCTGGGATGGTTTGGGGCATGAGGGACCTTAAAGATCATCTTGTTCCACCCCCCACCACAGGCAGGGACACCTTTCACCTGCCCAGGATCTGCTTTGCCTGGTGTCTGGGAAGGAGGGAAACACTTCCTGCAGCTGTCCCTGATGGTGAGACCCTGGGATTAGGGATGCTGGCAGAACCTCTGGCACAGCTGGTGCCACGCTGCCCTGGGGGTTGGCTTTGGCCCTGCTGGAATTAATTACTCGTGAAAGGCACCGGGTTTGTCCAGGTTGGAGCTGCAGGAGATTTTGGGGATCCTTATGAGGAGAAACTGCGGGAGCTGGGCCTGGTTAGTCTGGAGAGGGCAGGGCTGAGAGGGGTTCTCATGAATCCCTGCAAATATCTCCTCAATCCACACAAATATCTCAGCAATCCATATAAATGTCTCACCAATCCATATAAATGTCTCACCAATCCATACAGTAACTCCAGGGGGTGTCAGAGGATGGTCCCAGGCTCTGTTCACTGGTGCCCAGTGACAGGACAAGGAGCAATGGCCATAAACTAAAACCCAGCCAAGTTCCACCTCAACCTGAGGCAGAACTCATTCCTTTCCGTGGAGGTGGCAGAGCCTGGAACAGCTGCCCAGGGAGGGCTTGGAGTGTCTGGAGACATCCCAACCCCACCTGGACACATCCCTGTGTCACCTGCTCCTTCCCACAACGCTGGAAGGTTTAGTGGTGGGTTAATTTGGCTCAGTCTTAAAGGGGTTTTCCAGCCTAAATCATCCTGTAAATCCAATATTTTGTGGGACCAAGGGGCGTTTTCCAGTCGGGAAACATCCCTGACATATCCTTGTCTTCTCCACAGGGCAAGATGACTGGAATGGGACCCGGCCCTCCCTGAAGGCCCCGCCGGCCAGGACAGCGAAGGGGTCCTACCGAGACCACCCCTACGGACGCTACTAAACAAACAAAACATGAGGGAAAAATCCCACTTTTGAGCAAAACAGTTGTTACTGATTCTTGTATCTCCCGGGATTCCCGTTGCTTTGCCCACACCAGACAAGTAATTGTCCAACTGTTTTTCTTCGTGGCCCCTTTTTCTCCCACTCCATCCTCACCCTGCATTTCGGCTTCTGTACGTAGTACTTTTAAAAGATGAGTTAAATAGATTTTTTTTTTTTTTTTTTTAGAGGAAGCGACTTTTAATTTTTATTTTTATTTTTTTTTCAGCGTGTAGGTGGCTTTTTCTTTCTTTGTCGTTTAGATAAACGCAACTGTACCTTTCTTTTTCTTTTTTTTTAAGGAAAAAAAAAACAAAAAACCAACAAAAAAACCTACAAAACCACAGTTTAAAAGTGTTAGTTTTCCAAAGTGACATGCTTTGCTTAGCAGCTATGAAATTAAGGTTTTGTTTAAAACTCTTTAAAGTTTGTTTTAAAGGAACCCATAAAGGTTGTAGTTGCAGAATCCCAAAGTAGGCTACATTTCAAAATTCAGGGCTATTTTTAAGCATTAAAATCATAATGTAACGGTAGTAGCTGCCACCATTTTTAAAAAAAAAAAAAAAGGAAAAAAGTAACTTCAGATGCCAAAAGTTCTTTATAAGGAGATTGCTGGTGAATCTTGAAGTTTTAAATTTTAATACGAAGGCTCCTCCAACAAATTAAATAGCTTTTTTTTTTAAAGAGAATTGACCTAAAAGAAAAATTAGGTTTGTAAAATTGACTTTTCTTATGTGGATTTTGAAATCTAGCCCCCCGTGCAGTGTTGAGATATGCTTGGGAAGCAGATATTTCCAGTGTAAAGGGGTTCTTAGTTCGGTTCTAGATGAACAATTTTAAGGGAAAAAAAACAAAGCATGGCTCTAATTGCCCAGTGTTTGATAGTAGAAAGCAGAATATTCCATGGGTAGGTCTGAACTCTGTAAAATTCTCATTTTTTTTATAGTGCTTGGGGCAGGTAATCCAGTGCAAATTTAAAACTGACACACCAAAAAACCAACAAAAAGAAGTCAATATTAGCAGTCCCATCGACTTGTTCAAGTGTATCTCAGCACGAGCTTTGCGTAAAAAGGGACACTGCAGCTGGGAAAAAAAAAAACCAACAAAATGATCAAAAATTTCACTTTGTACATAAGATAAAGTCCTAATTGGATTTGTACACTGTCCTCCCACTCTGTTCTTGAAGAGAGAATGCTACATGTGTAAGTCTGCCTAACTAGGTAGCTAAAAACGTGTCAAAGTGTCTGTCGCGATTTGTCAATAAAGTTTAGTCCTTTTTTAATCAAAGTAAATGTGATGAATTGTCATTTGTTTTGGTTGAGCGATAAAAAGTAGCGATTTTTTTATTATTATTATTATTATTATTATTATTATTATTTCCGTTCTGTTTGTTCTTAAATAAGTTTAAATTAATGCTAAAGCTAATTGTCTTTTTAAAACGATGGAGACGTTCTAAAAAAAAAAAAAAATGGTGGTTTTTTTTGTAATTCTCACCAAAAAAAAAAAACAAAACAAAACAAATTTACCGAGCTCGTTGAATGAGCTTAAATTTAAAAAAAAAAAAAAATTATATATATATATATGAAAAAGAAAAATTTGTTTTTCACCCCCTGGAAGTTGTTGAAAGCGGTTTGAGCCTGGACTGGGGCAGAAATCTGACTTGGAAAGTGTTTTCTGGTTCTTTGCTGAGTTACTGATTGGGATTTCAAGTGGCCTCGGAGAATATTCCGGGCTGCAGACTCCAGCTTGAGTCTGAAATCCCTGGTTTAAGCAGCGTGACAAAAGGAATGCTGAAAATTCCAAGGCTTAGCTGCCACCAGGAGGAGAAGGAAGTTGCTTTCTGTAAAAACCCCCCCTTGGCTAAGATGATGCCCTTCCTACTTCACGGTAGCTTTTACTTGGAAAAACCACTTAAAAAATGTATTTTTGTTGGAGAACGGTGCTGCAGCTGCTCCTTAAATCCTTCTGAGAGGGTGTGGATGTACAGAGATATATAATATAAATTATATATATTTAAAAGTGAATGCTTCTTAAAGAGACATGAAAAAAATGGTTTGTGTTTCCCATCTCCCAGACGAATTTGGAACCCTTTAAGGGGGAGAGAATTAAACTGCTCGGGGGTGAAAAATAAGAATATTAGGGAGCAAAACTGTGGCAGCGCATGAACGAGGGGAATACTTTAAAAAAAAAGAAAGAAAAAAAAAACCACAAACTTGTATTTGTAGATTTGTTATTAAAGTGCAAATAACCGAATTTTCAACACTGGTTTGGAGTCAGCTTTCAGGGCATAATGTGTTGCTTGGTGAAAAGATCTGCCCATTACCCCCCTTTTAAAGGAAAATTATCGCAGGAGAATCAATCAGGATGTGTAAAGCTAACATGCATCGCCCAAAAGGTAACCTAAATGTCTGATTTTAACAGCGCATTTCTCTTTTCCATAAACCCGTGACGTAAACTTTTTTTATCC